TGCGGGAGCAGCTACATTCTGATTCTGCGCCGGCTGAGGCCCCCGTTCACATATAGCGAATTGTCGCGTGATTGTAATATATCTATCTATATATGTGTGTGTGTGTGTGTGTGTGTGGTGGTGGGGGGTATTTTTTCATGTGTTTGGGGGGGTGTATTATTTTACATGCAGGTAGTGGCGTAACAATCACCATAGCAACCCAGGTGGCCGCTATGGGGACCAAGGCATAGGGGGGCCCGGCCAGGACATTCCTGATGCCCTGCGGGCCGCACGGGTCGCTATGGCATCTCACGCTGGTGACAGTCACTGGCGGCTGTGAAGAGAAATGTGCTGATGTACATAGTCGCGCTATCCCGGCCGCTGACAAGGTATGTCGCTATATGTGAACGGGGTCTGATTGTTTACCGGCACTCGGATCCTTTCGGCCGGCGCTCTTGATCGGTAAGGTCTGCGGCAGACATTACCAATCCACCACCGGATCACCGGGGACCGACGTGCCGCCTCACAGCCTCCTCCCTGCAAAAAGATAAGCAGGAGAGGGGGCTCTGTAGTTTATTTTACATGCGGGGGTTTTCCCCCCAACAGACGTATTATGTCACCCATCGCTGCACATGCAAGCCGTCATATTGTGTAATGCAATTATATGGTGTAATGCGCCCCGCCTCCAGGATGGCGTTGCGCATGTGCAGAATGCGCTGGTGGCCAGATCCAAGTCTCCGTTCATTTCGTCTAAAACAAATGTTTACTCTTTGCACATGTCTAGTAACATGTGCGCATGAGTGCGTGTTTGTGTGGTTTTTTTTTTTTTTTACTGTTGGGGGGCTTCGGGAAATTTTAGGGGTCTAGACCCCTGCCTTTCCCTTTTGAAATAGAAACAACGGACACAGGGTCCTCTGCCCATACAGGCGGGGGACAGCAGCGGGGATCCGAGGAGAAGCTGGAGCCTGTGTCGCCCCTCTTCTCCCTGCCGAGCCGGGCCTGTGTTGGCCGCCTGGCGCCCCTGTTGCCAATGGCGCCCTGTGCTCGCCCCGGCAACAGGGGCTAGGGGACGCCCTGGCTACGCCCCCTCTCAGCTGCGCCTGAGACAAGTGCCTCACCCGCCCCATGGTAGCTACAGCCCTGGTCTGCTAGCTTGCTCTAGCACTACATTGACTATATATATGACGTGTGGCCCTTTGATGATGTCAGGGGCCAGCTTATGAGCATCCAGCACACCCTATTGGCCCCCTAGTGCTGCCCCTCTCCCCCAGTCACAACTTTTCATACTTTGCTGCTATGACACGGGGGCATTTCCTGCTTTTATTGCCCTCCGAGGCCTCAGTGATCTCCACATTGCAGCTCGTACAGGGATCATCGTGACAAGATGTCAGTGTGTACAGAGCGAGGACGGGCGCTCCTCCACCTGTGGTGTGCAGTGCCGGACTCTGGCCAGTAGGTGGCGCTGTTCGCTGTCTGTGATTTCGGTTGGCAGACGGCTGATAGAGTCTGAGCTTCCCGAGCAGAGACAGCGGCAGGTAATCACCCCTATATAGCGCCATGTTCCCGCCTGATGATTAAAGAGTCTCCAGAAGTCCAGACACCCGGGTGGGTCAGGAGCCTCCTTACACTCAGGCTCATTATTAACCATGTGATAATAGCAGAGATGTTTGATGTTGAGCAATGCTTGGCAGCAGTCACTGGGCTGTGTCCTGCAATGTGCAGACAGCCCTGTCCTGGAGGATGACCATAGAGTTTTCCCAGCACAGCTCCTCCGCTCACCTGGCCGGGCTCAGCTCCATGACCTGGTAATCCCGGGACACCGGCCAGCCGCCATGTTACTGTGTATACTAGGTGACGAGAAGCATGAAAGCGGCTTTCTGGCCAATCAGGAAGCCGGGCGCCACGTCATTACACGCTGCCCGGCTTCCTGATTGCCCGGGAAGCCGGCTCCATGCTCCCTCGTCACTTGGGTACCGGAAGTATCGGGCGAGGAATCGGAGCATTTGGCTGAGTACGAGTACTCGCCCAAATACTCGGCATCAGCACCGATACTAGTATCGGCATCAGCGCATCCCTAGTGTATACTATCCGCATGTGATGTAAAGGCCCCGGGAGGAGGGCGCTGCTACACAGCACCCCGGCCACGTGGAAGGTGTTGCTGACACTCGAACGACAATTTGTAGCAGGTGATGTGGAGTTAGGGTTGCCACCCGTACGGGATTTACCCGGATAGTCTGGGTTTGGAATCCTGTGCCCGGGTGTCAGCCCACCCGGGCACATTATTCTAGGGCTGCAACAACGAATCCATTAAATCGATAATAATCGATGATGAGAATAGTTGGCAACTATTCTCATCATCGATTAGTTGCTTGGGGGAGAGAGGGATTTCTTTTAATGCAACTAACTGATTAATCGAAAAAATAATCGGGCAACTAATTGATTATGAAAATAATCGTTAGCTGCAGCCCTAGATTATTCTCACCGGACTTGTGGCTAGAGGCATGCACACCTCGCAGCGGGCGCCGCTGTCACTCCAGTTGCTGAGTCCCTCGACTCTCCCTCCCTGTGTTTCTCTCCTCCGCGGCTGGGACTGGCGGGAGGAAGTGACATCAGGGACTCGGGAGAGAGGGAGAAATCATCCCCCGGCAGCCGGTTCTATCATTTCATCGGACCCGCGACTTCATCGGACTGCTGTCCGTCCGCGCAAGCGCACTGAGGCACCACGTCCGTAATTGTCACAGACCAACACAGCTTATCAGTAGATGTGCACTGGGAAAATATGTGTTTCGTTTTCATTCGGATATTCTGTTATTTTGTTATTCGGGATTCCGGTCCGAAAGTCAATTCGGATTCGGATGAAATCCGTTAGCGATTGTCTGAATGAATGATCGTCCCGGACGAAGTTTTGTTGCAGCAAAGTGACATTTTAGTCTGCAGAGGAGAAAAAAAAAGTGTGAGGTTCCCCCCCCAATTGATACCAGACCCTTTAGGTCTGGTAGGAATGTTAGGAGGGACCCCCCAAGTTAAAAAGTATGTGGGGTCCCCCCTCAAAATCCATACCAGGCCCTTTAGGTCTGGTAGGAATTTTAAGGGGGAGCCCCAACCCCAAAAAATGGGACCCCCCCTAAAATTCCTACCAGACCCTCCCTTTATCCGAGCACTGGCAGGGCAGGAAAGGGGGGGACGGATGATCGAGCGCCACCCCTCCCCCTGCGCCTTACCAGGCCACGTGCCCTCAGCATTGGGAGGGTGTCTCCATGCCGATGGGGACAAGGGCCTCTTCCCCACAACCCTGGCCTGGTGGTTGTGGGGTTCTGCGGGCAAGGGGGCTTATTTGCATCGGGGTACCCCTTTAGTTAAGAGGCCAGAGGCCGCCCCCCCACTTGTGAATGAGTAAGACCCCCACAACCACCGGGTCAGGGTTGTGGGGAAGAGGCCCTCGTCCCCATCGGCATGGAGACACCCTCCAAATGCCGACGTCACGTGGCCTGGTAAGGTGCAGGGAGGGGGGTTGCTCGATCACCCCCCCTCCTGCCGGGCCTGTGCTCGGCTCATGGGTCTGGTAGGACTAATGATTTTAAGGAAGTTTCTTTATAATTATGAAGAATTGTAACTCAATCCATAATTATTCAGCAATAGAGAATGGCAGCCAGCAATCATGGATTGCTGAGATTTGTAGTCCTCTAGCCAGTTGCCATTCTCTATTGCAGTATAATCATTGATTATTCAACAATGGAGAATGGCAACCAGCAACAGAGGACTACAGACCCCATCAATCCATGATTATAGAGCAATTATACCCGCGTTTGGGTCTCACCAGGGCTGCTTTCGGGTTCTCAACAGGGCTGCCTGCAGATCTCACCAGGGCTGCATGTGGGTGCTGGGCTCTCTGGGCAGTCGCTGGGCTGTACAGGAGGTGGGGTGGGGTGGGGGGTCTGTCTAGAGCTGTGCCTGTCTCTGCAGGCGCTGGGAAAGGATGAGGAGGAGATGTGGGTCCGCACCGGCGCTGTCAAAGACAGCTACCGCGAGGTCCCCAGCAGGCTGCCTGAGGTCCTCAGCAAGGCAGTCAAACTTATTTAAACATTTAAAGGGCCAGTATCAGCCTTTAGTATTGGAGCATTTTCATGAGTACAAGTACTTGTGAAAATGCCCTGTATCGGCCCTGATATCGCTACTAGTATCAATATCGGGACATCCCTACTATTTGCTTAGGTAAATCCAGATGGTGATTTTTTATTTTTTTTGGCCACTCATTGTATAATGGAGAATGTATTCGGAGGAGGCGGACACACAAGGGTGGGCGGGGACTCCCAGAAATACCAGGTGGACAGGAGCAGAGTTGGGATTCATAGGAGGGAGATCTCATTGCTGGAGTATCTAGGGCCTATAAGAAGTCGGGGTTGATGCCTCCTATATCTAAAATATCACCTAGGTGGGGGTGTGATTGCTGTATTATGGGGCATGTGTTACCTGTAACAGTTTTCTAAAACGTGAGAGAAAGTTTAAAGGACGAGTATATCTTTACCACAGTTGTCCTTTATTTAAAACCACCGCTCAGATCAGAAATGCAGATGTTCTGTTACTTGTAGTTCTCTGAACATTGGCTCCATTGCCGCCTTGTTCCTGCACAGGACTGAGAGCTATTGACGTCGCCTGGTCTCACCTTCTGATTGTTATAGGAGCTTCTCAGCCAATCCCGGACCAGCCCCCTAATCTACCTCTCCATATAAACTGTGACTCGCACTCCATGCTGGAGAGCTGGGGTGCTATTGGAGGACATTTTAGCAATTAATCTGTGGATTTAGCTGTGTACTGTAAAGGAGGCCCTGTGCACCCAGAGCAGGAAGTATGGAAGGCCACAATGTCTTTGCCTGACTTCCTGCCTACCCAGCAGAGGACTCACAAGGCTGAATGATGCATGCCAGTTTTAAGAGCCAACACTAAGCGGAGGAGGAGGAGAGGGGAAGAGAGCCCTGGGGATAGACTAGATTATGTCACTCAGTCTGCAGCCATTAAATCTGACACTTGTTATATCTTTTATTTCCCTTCAGATAATCTACAATAATGCCGCCATTTCCTCCATGTTGTGGCCTTATCATCGTGGCTTCCCGCCAGCCAGGTGAGTGTACAAGCAACGGCAGGTTACAGTATGAGTGACCCCAGCTCTGATTTATGAAGAAGCCTTTCCCGAGTGACACATGGAGGCTGCAGATGGTGACTTCTCATACTACAGATGCTGGTTAGCTGACTGTCATGCTGATCCTCTGCTTTCAGTATTCAGATAAACATCAGACAAATGGCTCCAGGTGGATCTAAACTGTCACCCCCATCCACCAGACTGTGACATTCAGTATTTTTAGTGTTAAGCAAAGAAGAAAATATATAAAAATAAAGTTTACAAACTCTTTGGATGTAATATATCCCACCTGACACGGTAGTCACTCCAAAAACATCCTTGTGTATAAGTGATCCATACAGACATTAATGTCTTAATGGTGAGTTTGAGTTCATCTCACATGTATTACATCACACCCTACGTCTACCATCATGGTGGTGCTGTTGGTACCAGAACCATTTACATGAGGGAACATGGCAGTGTCTCCGGACAGCTGAGCCCTGTGTGTCACTCCATGACAGCAGCTCTCAGACCAGGTTAGCGAGGGCCATCGCCCTAAGTCACTGCGGCTCTTGTGTAGTGCACATGCGCTGGCAGTTAACATGTGACAGAAGGAGAGAAAAAAGAAAAGAAAAAGCAGACCTTGAAGGTGTGTCATTGACAGCCAGGGCTCACAGGAAGTGGGTTGAAGGTCACAAGTAGGGATGCACTAATACCAATACTATTATCAGTACCGATACCAAGCATCTGGGCGAGTACTTGTACTCGCCCAAATGCTCCGATACCTTTCCCGATACCGGAACTTTCGGTCAGAGGGAGATTTCCTCTGACCGGCAGTGCCGCGAGGGGAACATGGAGCCGGGAAGTTTGAGCCGGTGATCGATCAAAACTACGAACTTATCGAGTTGTGGGACCGCATTACTTCCGGTTTCCTCACAACTACGAGGTTTTTACACAAAACATGTTGTGCACGAGCGCCATCCACGGCATTGCCCTATAGACATAGACCACAGCAATAAAGTAATAAAATGATGTAGGATGACAGTAAGCCAGCGCGTTCTTTATCTCAGGTGCCCCACTCAAGCGGCGGCCATATTGAGTGGGGCACCGGAGATAAAGAACGTGCTGGCTTATTGTCATCCTACATCATTTTATTACTTTATTGCTGTGGTGTATGTGTATAGGGCAATGCCGTGGATGGCGCTCGTGCACAACATGTTTTGTGTGCAAACATCCTAGTTCTGAGGAAACCGGAAGTCATGCGGTCCCACAACTCGATAAGTTCGCACTTTCGACACATCACCGGCTCGACACTGACCGGCCGGGAAGCAAGTTGGACCAACCAGACAACCAAGCAGGCCACATCAATTGGTCTACATCAATCTCTCTCCCTGGTCGTGGTGCTTCCCTCCCTTTTTCATTTCTTTTTTACCATTACACGAGTCGGTCTGTACTATCGGGAAGCTGCACACCACCTTCACACTTTGCCCACACAAACAATTGGTGTATGAACACCCTCGTCAGAGCGCTGGCCATCTGGGCTGCCCCTTCAATTTTTCGCTGACAGGAGGAGAGAGCTGCTGCTGTTCCTTCACTGACTCGATGAAAAGGCCGGGGGTAGTAGATTAGTAGGTCGCTCTTTATAGCAGCTTGGTAAATTTACAATGTAGATAAGCTAAGCACTGAGCTGGAAATTCCTTATCTCTGTACAGGTAGAATGTGTTTCTTGTATTTGTCTGGTACCCAATTTGATTGAAGAGCACTTGTAAAGAGTACCTGTACCTGTGTTACCCAAATGTATAGCTCAAGTCACCAGATTTTCTCATTCTCCTGTGTGTGTGTCCAGTCCCTCTGCAGGGGATCTCGGTGGACGTCCAGGTGAAAGGCTTTGTGGTGGATGTATCGGCCACTCTCAAGTATAAGAACAAGGAGGAGAAGGCGGTGGAAGCAGTCTTTATCTTCCCCATGGATGAAGACTCCGCCGTCTACAGCTTTGAGGCCACAACAGAGGGGAAGACGATTGTAGCCGACCTGCAGGAGAAGGAGCAGGTAATCACCCTCTGCCTTTCATGTCAATGCCTACGTCCTTGTGGAGCCCCCATGGATCCCTGGCCTAGACTTATCTGGAACAGGGCTTAATTTTGACTTAGTTGAGGCCTTATGTACAGCCTGGAGTTGGGATCAAACACATTTCACAGAGAGACAGGGATCGTTATGAACCATAACATACACCCTTACCAGCACGGGGTGCCTATACCACAGTGCTAATTCTTTCTAATAAATTTTAAGTTCTAAATAATTTTGTGTCTCATCATGACAGCAGACTGCCACTAGTACCATATTCTAGCATTTGTAAGGAGATAATCACATGACACAAGAGGGTGGAGCTTATACTGGGTATAATTATTCAGGTGTGCCTAGGCAGCTTGGTGTCTGGATACGGCCTTGGTGTCCAGCTTTAGGTTCGTCATTTTGTAATCTTATTAACTGATGCACTAAAACTCTCAGTATTGAAGAAAAGGAGCAACCTTCCCTAATCACAACACAGCGTATTTTAACTAACACTTCAAGTGCACTCTAGTTTTATTGCTATCCCTGTAAAGCTCTGCATGACATTTGTTGTTTTGAAGATGAGATATAGAACGTGTGGTCACCAGTTTGGCCGAATTATCTACTGATCTGCAGATGTCTATCATGTCTTATGATTAATAGTCACAGACAGGAATTGACTGTTACTTCCCTCCTATTTTAGGGGAGGCTAGAAAACTAGACACAAAATGCAGAGATAGATAGAATTTGGTAACACAAGTAGAGCTATAAAGCAGGAGGGGGGAGGAGGTAGATGCTGCACACCATAGGCGGATCAGTAGATTTCAATGCTGTTAGATTTTATGGTGGCACGCTTGGAACACACAGAGTATAAGGGAAGTATACCATAGGGGTTACGTTAGTTTTAGTAAATAAATATCTGCTGTCTCTTCTGGCTTATCCTCCTGGGTGTCTCTCCTCGCTCTACCCTGGCTGTCTTTTCTCCCTCTCTCTCTCCCTCTCCTGGTTGTCTCTCCTTGTTCGTCCGCCTGGCTGTCTCCCCTCGCTCTCTCCCCTGGCTGTCTCCCCTCTCTCTCCTTGCTGTCTTTCCTGGCACTCTTCTCTCTCTCTCCTGGCTGTCCCTCCTCATTCTTTCTCCTGGCTGTCTCTCCTCTCTCTCTCCTGGCTGTCTCTCCTCACTCATTCTCCTGGCTGTCCCTCCTCACTCATTCTCCTGGCTGTCCCTCCTCACTCATTCTCCTGGCTGTCTCTCCTCACTCATTCTCCTGGCTGTCCCTCGTCACTCATTCTCCTGGCTGTCTCTCCTCACTCATTCTCCTCGCTGTCTCTCCTCACTCATTCTCCTGGCTGTCCCTCGTCACTCATTCTCCTGGCTGTCCCTCGTCACTCATTCTCCTGGCTGTCCCTCCTCACTCATTCTCCTGGCTGTCTCTCCTCACTCATTCTCCTGGCTGTCTCTCCTCACTCATTCTCCTGGCTGTCCCTCCTCACTCATTCTCCTGGCTGTCCCTCCTCACTCATTCTCCTGGCTGTCCCTCCTCACTCATTCTCCTGGCTGTCTCTCCTCACTCATTCTCCTGGCTGTCCCTCGTCACTCATTCTCCTGGCTGTCTCTCCTCACTCATTCTCCTGGCTGTCTCTCCTCACTCATTCTCCTGGCTGTCTCTCCTCACTCATTCTCCTGGCTGTCCCTCCTCACTCTCTCCCTCCTTGCGTTATCTTCACGCTCATCCCCCTGGCTGTATCTCCACGGTCTCTTCCCGTCTGTATCTCCTCGCTCTCTCTCCTGGCTGTCTCTCTTCGATCTCTCCTATATAGTTTCCCAAAAACAAATTGCCTTGCGGCGCAAAAGTGTTTCGTTCTTGCTTAAAGAAAAGGTGGCAATCCTATTTCCCACTGGCCAATCAGTCATGATGATGCAATGGTCAGGTCACATACAGCCCACTGTCCTCCAATGATATTAAATCATAGTAGACACACAACATGTAATTGCTCTTGTAATTGTATAGACGTCATATTCACAGCTCTATACTGATGTATAACTATTCAAGTTAAAAGACAGTAACAAGTTTGCTTCTTCTCCCTCTCCTCTCCAGGCTCACAAAACCTATGATGAGGCCATCAGCCGGGGCGAGCAAGCCTTCCTCCTGGAGGAAGATGAGAGCTCAGCAGACATCTTTAGCTGCAGTGTTGGGAATCTCCCTCCCGGCCAGGAAGCTGAGATCACCCTGAAATACGTCCGGGAGTTGCCGTTGGAGGCGGACGGAGCTGTGCGTTTTGTGCTGCCGGCCGTCCTCAACCCGAGATACACCCCAAAAGGTGCAAATAGTTTATTTCAGTGTAATTCTTTGATCTTCTCTTTTGAAGGGACCCCTAAACTTAAAATGAACCTGTCCTGGCTGACTGTTCCTAAAGCAAAAGTGATAAATTGTCAACACCAAGTACCTTGTGTTAGTCCTAAACCAGTTCTTGTGTTCCTGTGGAGCCTTTCACATTGTAGGCCCATGCTGTACCTGGGGCCTTGACTTCTGTCCAAATTGTAACCCCGGCACTAAACCCAGCCAATGAATGTCAAAAGTCAGAACTTCTGTGTGCTGGTGACAAAATAACCCGACATGACATCTACAGCTGGCGCTCTGCATTGCGGTATAATGACCCATCACATGAGAGCTCTCCTGAGGGCCAGTGTCCACATTATAACGTCTTCGAGAAAAATACAGCAAGTCCAGTTGCCTTCATTTATTTTTTACATAAATACCATGACCCGGATGAATGAGAACCTTTACGGACTCTTTTCAAAGTAAAGTAAACTTTCCATCTCCGTCTGTTCCTTCACAATCTTCAAAACTATCGTTTGTACATTATGCAAGTGACCTATTCTATGTTTCCCCAGCAGTTCAGTCATCACAGTTGTTCTTGGTGTTTGGGCCATATGTTGGAGATTTTCTGTTCCACAATTGGGCTCATGTGGGAAGAATCATCCAGGGCTTGTTCACCCTGACCTTAAGCATTGTCTGGATATGTTATGTGTTCTGTCAATGTTCTCCTCCTCTCCTGACTATACCCCCAATACTCTCTCATTATTCTCTTCTTCCTTGACCTTAGATGTAATTTCTTTTCCCATACATCCATCTTGGATGGCACAGTTATATAACAAGAATTACACAAAACAAACTAGTGTATAGTTCTTCCTTTAAAGGAGAACTATGAGATGAGTGATTTCCACTCACCTCATAGTTCTAAGCCGACCTGTGACAATGAGACTGTCACAGGTCGGCTCAGTAGATCGGGAGGTGAGCGAACAGATACCGGCGTTCACTCACCTCTCGGTCCTGTCACAGCTCCGTGCCGTGACAGGGGAGGGGCTGGATTCCCCCCTCCCCGCTCCGATCCGCCAGCGCTGACTGGCGGAACGGCCGGGGGAGGGGGCGGGTACAGCTGGCTCTGCCTCTAGATAGGCAGAGCCAGCTGTCACTCACGCAGCTGGGTGGATCTCGACATCGATGTTGGGATCCGCTCCGGCTGCGGCGTCTCGGTATATAGGGAGCTGTAGCTCGCGGTATACTGAGCTTAGGGTAACGGGAGTACGCTAGTTTGTGTCCTCCCGTTACCCTAAGGAGAACTATGGGGAAAAACCCTGACCCCATAGTTCTCCTTTAAGTACTATAAAATGACAACATGACTATGCAACAGTAAATACGCCCACACCTAAAATGACTCTTTTGATCTTTTGATGAATGGGCACTTCCCCCCTCCGATCCTCCAGCGCTGACTGGTGGAACGGATGGGGGAGGGGGCGGGTACAGCTGACTCTAGATAGGGAGAGCCAGCTGTCACTCACGCAGCTGGGTGGATCCAGACAGAATTGTCGGGATCCATTTCAGCTGCGGCGTCTCAGTATATAGTGAGCTGTAGCTCGCGGTATACTGAGCTTAGGGTGACGGGAGGACGCTAGTTTGTGTCCTCCTGTTACCCTTAGGAGAACTATGGGAAAAGCCCTAACCCCATAGTTCTCCTTTAATAGTCTGTGACAATGGTGAAAGCCATTAAATTGTTCAGCAGCCTCCGTAAAAGCTTTGTGAACATACTGGAGTGGACTGAATGTGTTCTCAGTGTTTCTTACAATCTTATTTTCTCCCTGTGTTCTGTAGGGTCCATTATGGCGGAGTCAGTGGCCATGATGAATTTCTATCCGAATTTCCCAGCTGGTCAGGAGCAGACCAATTGCGGCGAGTTTATTTTCCTTGTGGACCGGTCTGGCAGTATGGAGCGTTCAATGTATTCAGAGACAGACAGAGAATTCCCGCAGAGGATTCAGAGTGCCAAGGTCGGTAAATTGCCCCAATTGACCATCTAAGACTTACGTGATTGGAAATGTGTCTCGGGATCCTTGTTGTAAATTGAAATAGTTTATTAAAAAAACAGTCACCTATCACCAGGCAGAACACGGGCTAGAAGGACCTTCCTGATTATCAGATAAGAGGACCGTATGTGAAGTTAAGGTGATATTCAGGGACATGAATTAAATCTGAGCTACATTAATTACAGTAGAAAGTGGGGGGAAGTAAATCTGTTTGTAGTGGAAGCGTCCAGTCATACAAATAGTACGTTTTTTCCTAATTCTTTGTATGATTGGATGATTGAAGTGCACATGGATTTCCATCACATCAGTCTCCATTATAGTTAATGACTGTGATCAGAGCAGGCAGGCAGGGACGGGGAAGGCAATCCTCCAACTCATTAAGCTGTAAGTGTAAATTTCAGCTTGAACTATTGACCACTATAAGCAACAGGCCCATCCACACCAGGGCGGTTGCGGATCAGAGCGGTTCCGCGCTGATTTCAAAAGGAAGGTTTTGGGAGTTTTTAATTGCGTTTTTAGCACTGAAACGCAATTCTAAATGCCTCAAAACCGGTTCCATTGAAAGCTGTATGGAAACCGCACTGATTAGCGCGGCACACAAGGGTCAGGGAGCGGTCGCATGAACGGTCCCCATAGGAATGGACGGGCTCGTTCATGTTGGCGGATCCACGCGGCCGAACCGCCCTGGTGTGAACGGGGCCTTAAAGGAGAACTATGAGGGGAGTGTTTTTCACTCATCCTCATAGTTAGAGCCGACCGGTGAGAAAGAAGCTGTCACAGGTCGGCTCTGTTGATCGGGAAGTGAGCAGAAACATGCAGCGATCTGCTCACTTCCCGATCCTCTCCCTGCAGAGAGCGGTGACTGACAGTCTGGACGGGGGAGGGGGCGGGCACAGCTGGCTCTGCCTCTAGACAGGCAGAGCCAGCTGTCACTCACGCAGCTGGGTGGATCTCAAAAGTATTGTCGGGATCCGTCCCCGCTGCGGCGCTGCCCGCAATATACTGAGCTTTGGGTCACCGGAGGACGCTAGTATGTGTCCTCCCGGGACCCTGAAGAGAACTATGGGGAAAAACACTGACCCCACAGTTCTCCTTTAAGCATATAAGGAGAGCCGGTCTGTCAATGTGGCCGTTACTAAGGATAATGTGGCCGTTAATAAGGATAGCTGAGCGAATCCCCAGCCTTGTGGTATTTCACTCCTACTTTTTGTCCAACACGTATATACAATATATAATTCTTTTCACTCTAGCCATTCACCAGGTCTTAGCCGTCCAGTCACCTCATTCGTTGTCTTTCCTCTGCAGGAGACGCTGCTTCTTCTATTGAAGAGTTTACCTCTCGGGTGTTACTTCAATATCTATGGCTTTGGCTCCTATTTTGAGGCTTTCTTCCCGTGAGTATAAAGGTTGGACTGTCGGCGGTCTAGTGAAGCAATTCAGTTCTGAATCTGTGACGAACCTTCATAGCACGGTCTCCAGCATATGGGTGTGATGATGTGTGTGGCTGTAAGGAAGATCCCAGCTCTATGAAGAAATAAAGTGAGCATGGAAGATAGAGAGGGACTTTTACAGAGAGTGTTGGAAGTCCGGTACTTCCATCTTTCCGATAAAAATGGATAACTGAAATGGCACAGAGAAGAGCCGTATAGCCACATTTTCTTTTATATAGAGTAGGGAAGGGTTAAATACCCTCTCAGGTTATTTGATTCTGTCCGTGTCCTGCTGGGGAGATTTCCCTTCACTTCCTTTCCACAGGGACACAATAAGAAATTAGAAAAGGGAGGAAAAATCCCCTCTAAAGGTGCCCATACACCTGCCGATTATCGTACGATAATCGCTGGAAATCCCGCGATCGTACGATAATCGGCAGGTGTATGGAAGGCGTGCGACCGTTTCTATTGCACGGTCGCACGTCTTTTGTCTTACGAGAATGTTTGAAAACCAGCCGAGAATCGTACGATTTTCGGCGAGTTTGTGTCGTGCTCGTAAGACAAATGCCGCGCGGGCCGGTGTGCGTAAGCGCACACTGCCCGCTCAGCAATGCTGTCATCGGAAGCCCGCCCCTCAGCGGGGTAGGCTTGCGATGGTCGCAAGTAGGATCTGCCTGTCGGAGATGGGCAGATCGTACGGTTTTTTAATTAAAAGGAGAACTATGGGGTCAGGGATTTTCCCCATAGTTCTCCTTAGGATAACGGGAGGACACAAACTAGCGTCCTCCCGTCACCCTAGGCTCAGTATATAGGGAGCTACAGCTCGCGGTATACTGAGACGCCGGAGTGGATCCCGACATCGATGTCGAGATCCGCCCAGCTGCGTGAGTGATAGAGGCAGAGCCAGCTGTACCCGCCCCCTCCCCCGTCCGTTCCGACAGTCAGCGCTGGCGGATCGGAGCAGGGAGGGGGGAATTCAGCCCCTCCCCTGTCATGGCAGAGAGCCGTCACAGGATCGAGAGGTGAGCGAGCGCCTGTATGTGTTCGCTCACTTCCCGATCTACTGAGCCGACCTGTGACAGTCTCATTGTCACAGGTCGGCTAGAACTAGGAGGTGAGTGAAAAGCACCCCCCCTCCCCCCTCATAGTTCTCCTTTAACTTACAACCATCGCAAGACGAAAGTGTATGGCCAGCTTTAGACAGTTGTCACCCCACATGTGTCCCCATTAGGAGACACACCTTGCTTTGATAACTCTAAAACGGAGGATTTCCCATCAATTAATGTCTTGGTAAAGGTTGTCGCTAGAACAAATAGAGGGAAAATCACCCCGGCATGGACTATGGGAGCAATACTAATCTGATAGGGGTTCTAACCCTTCCCCCACTCTATACCAACAAAAAAAAAAACGTTTTACCCTTACACACTCTTTAAGGCCTGATGTCCATGTTGGGCAGCCATGTGTAGACATGGGTGTGTAAATATAAAGGATGGCACTAATATACCGGTCATCCGTTATAAAAAGTTTAGACATTGTCATGCACATATGAAGAAGCAGCGTTATCGCTCTAGGACAGGATTACAGCACACCCGCGCTTTTCTCTTCTGCATATAGAGGGGAGGTGTTCTGTAGTCACAAAGGCAGAGAGCACAGGAAGATATCAGCTGACATGATTTCTGGCAGGATCAACAGGTATTTTTTGCATTTGTCCAACAGATATAACACTTTCAATGGTATATTTAGCAGACCAAAAGGGAGCAAATATAAGAAGTCCATTGTTGGGTTTACGTATCTTTTATTGCAAGGTCTTTAGGAAGTATGGCATGATCACTTCTCCGATTCCAGTCATTATTTCTCTGTAGATGGTTAGGTAAATGATGGATGTAATAGAACCACAGTGTGTTCTTGATGAAGCATGTTCATGCCACAAAATTGTGGTTTGGACATATTTGTCAGACCTCTCAGTCCATCTGTAGAGCTGCCTGGAGGTCCCAATCACCATGAAACCTGCCCCGTGTAGGTTGACATCTCCTCCAGTGACCGTATAACATGAACTTATTAAACAATGTTCCTCAGGGAGAGTGTGGAGTACACACAGCAGTCCATGGAGGAGTCGGTGAAGATGGTGAATGAGATGGATGCCTGTTTCGGAGGAACAGAAATTCTCCAACCTCTAAAGAAGATCTACCAAACAGCCGGGAGAGCCGAGCACCCCCGACAGGTAAGTGAGGCTGCAAAACATTGGGGAGACTAGATACCATTGAGTGTGGAGGAGGGGAGTTCCAAGTACTCGGGTTATGGGGTCACAGAGCCTACTGATATCTAATGTTTGAGTTTTGCCTGAAGACGTCTTATAATATAACTTTAGTATAAATTTATATAGTAAGACAAGATAGTGAAATGATAAAGTTCAGTGTTGATGACCTGCGTTGCTCCATTGATCTCCTCATCTCTGTCCTCTCTTCAGCTTTTTGTCTTCACAGATGGAGAAGTCGGGAACACAAAGCAAGTGATCGATGAAGTTCAGAAAAATGCTCAGAAACACCGGTAATTATAAACATCCCATCCCATTCCATCCCTACTACCATGACATGCGCATTGCAATTTTCAGTTGACTTCTGACAGGAAACCTTACATTGGTCTGTGTCTCCATGCCTGAAATACATACCAGAGCTGCATTAGCCACTCAACAGTGTTACCAGGGTCTGCCAGAGGAGGCCACATTTGGCATTTTTAGACCCGAACATACATATTTGCGTTCATTTTGTCAATAGCCAAAAACAAAGACATTAGTCTTTGAATTGTAAGTGGATGAGAACCAGCAGCCAACACTTTCCAGAGTCAGCTACACCTTGATTCATCTACACCTAGAGTCGCTGGAGTCAGCTCCACCTAGAGTCAGCTCCACCTAGAGTCAGCTCCACCTAGAGTCAGCTACACCTACAGTCAGTTACACCTACAGTCAGTTACACCTACAGTCAGTTACACCTAGAGTCAGCTACACCTACAGTCAGCTACACCTACAGTCAGCTACACCTAGAGTCAGCTACACCTACAGTCAGCTACACCTACAGTCAGCTACACCTACAGTCAGCTACACCTACAGTCAGTTACACCTACAGTCAGTTACACCTACAGTCAGCTACACCTACAGTCAGCTACACCTACAGTCAGCTACACCTACAGTCAGCTACACCTACAGTCAGCTACACCTACAGTCAGTTACACATACAGTCAGTTACACCTAGAGTCAGCTACACATACAGTCAGTTACACCTAGAGTCAGCTACACCTACAGTCAGCTACACCTACAGTCAGCTACACCTACATTCAGCTACAACAAGAGTCATGTTCAATGGGAGTCTAAGTCCAGAGTTAACCCCTTTGATGTTGCAGGATTCACACCCTGTACCTTTAATGGGCACAGGGTCACTTAAACACAATGCCAGGGAAAAGACGCGGCATAGCCACTCCACACATAAATCCGGGTCAATAGTTCCAAGGGGTACACGTACATAGCAATCCTCAGGGTTCCAGGAACAGCCCCTCATGTCTTAGTTCCATGTAACCCCAAAAGGCCTGAGGGGGGGGTCTCCATATTCCTAGGTCCATAGTCCCTGGGAAGGGGGCTGGCCCCTCCAGGAGCCCAGGTCATGGTGGGTTCCAAGACACCTGCCCCGAAACTAGCCCATCACTACCATGGGCTGCCTCTCTGGCTAACAGAAATTATGCAGTAAGGGGCAGACAATATTTAGGGCCATCAGGAAGTGCTGAAGCTTTGCCTTTCTAGAATGACCTGATCCTAGAAGGCTTTCAGTTCTTTTCCTCCTGCACAGTTGATTGAAGTTTTTAAAACCTCTTCCCCCTTTTTCAGATGTTTTGCGTTTGGGATCGGTGAAGGAGCCTCCACATCCCTCATTAAAGGCATGGCCCGGGCAGGAAATGGAACCTTCGAGTTTATCACCGGCAAAGACCGCATGCAGCCCAAGGTAAGTAAAATGGAGGGCTTCATGGGTAAAAAATGAGAATGTTCTTCCAGATGGGGATACAGACAACTGAAAAACTTGAGGGACATTCAAACCCTGGGCTCATAGGAGGTGGGTTGAATGTTGCTGGCCATCGGATTAAGGAGAACTAGTGGCAGAAAAAATGCTTTGGGTCGGAGAAAACTGAATTGAAGGTGAATATTGCAGCTAAATCTAGTTTTGTTATTTTATCCTGTACTGGGTGTATTCATGTTTATCTTATCTTTTGCTCTTAAGTCAAATTTATTATTTTCTGTTTTGTTTTGCTATCTTCTTTAGGTTCTTCGGGCGCTAAAGTGGTCCCTACAGCCCACCGTGAAGGACGTCTCCCTTACATGGACCCTTCCTTCTGGTGTGGAGGCCATCGTCCTGTCCAAAGTCCCCACTACCATCTTCCAGGGACAAAGGTCCATTGTCTACGCTCAGCTAAAGGGAAAGGTCTGTGAGCCCGGGGAAGATCGTGTTTTGTGTATTACTTCAGTATGAAGGATGGTGAAAATTATTTCTAAATGGAGATTAGACAGTTTGCTACCCGATAACCAGAACTCATTATTAGCCTCAGCTGTCCCCAGGTCTTTACATATGAGCTGACTGATGCTCAGGACTCGCTCTCTCTTTTCCCAGGTGGAGAATGAAGGTGAGGTCTGTCTGCAGTACAAGTTTAAAGATGAAGTTGTAAAGAACGACATTCGTTTCCCGCTGAACGTGCAGAGTGCAGAAAGGTCAATATTAAGTATTGAAATATTCTACATCAGCTACAAACATTCTCCATGGTTTTTTTTAGGGTCACCATCCGCAGACTGTCAGAGCTCTGAATGTTTCATTCATTGTCTATCTTCTCTCACCCACCATCCACAGACTGGCTAGGCTCTGGTCTCATCAAGCATTGTCTATCTTCTCTCACCCACCATCCACAGACTGGCTAGGCTCTGGTCTCATCAAGCATTGTCTATCTTCTCTCACCCACCATCCACAGACTGGCTAGGCTCTGGTCTCCTTGTGCATTGTCTATCATTTCTCACCCACCATACACAGACTGGCTAGGCTCTGGTCTCCTCATGCATTGTCTATCTTCTTTCACCCACCATACACAGACTGGCTAGGCTCAGGTCTCCTCATGCATTGTCTATCTTCTCTCACCCACCATCCACAGATTGGCTGAGCTCTGGTCTGTTCATGCGTTGTCTATCTTCTTTCAGGCCCACCATCCACAGACTGGCAGCCAAAGCTCTGATCTCTGAGCTGGAACATGGAACAGAGTCACAGTCTGAAGAGGTGAAGAAGAAGATCCTGGAGACCAGCCTGCAGTCTGGTGTTGTCTCTTCTCTCACAGCTTATGTAGCCATCAACAAGGACACCAAGACACGTGTGGAGGGTCCTCCTGTGCGTATAGAAGTCCCAGCTCCAGGTATGGATTTTTCACATTTGAATACAGCAGATCCTCAGCTCTGCTATACAGGAGGACATAACTGCATGCCCCGTCATGGGGAAGACTACAAATAGTTACCTCATTATTAGCTGTGACTATGGCAGATCTTTGTAATTACAATTAGGGATGCACCGATACCACTTTTTTAAGGCCGAGTACGAGTACCGATACTTTTTTTCAAGTACTCGCCGATACCAATTACCGATACTTTTTCTTAAAGGGACAGGTCACATTTTTTCTAAAGCAATACAAAATCATGATTTTAGGTCAGTTTCTTAATATTATGAAGAACATGAACACTCTGTAGTGTGGCACAGCTATATCCAATTCTGCATACCTGGCTTTATATTATAAGAACTTTATAATATAAAGCCAGGTATGCAGAATTGGATACAGCTGTTCCACACTATACAATAATACACTGTTCTGGAGTCTGGACATGTGATAATCTATTTTCCCCACTAGGGGGATACAAGCCTTAGTTAGCAATGGCATGATAAATATTAATTTCATTATTCAATGTCTTTTTTT